CAGCATGTACCAAGCTGCTTCCTGCAAAGGCTCATGTGCTTTTGCTCCTCCTTTATGTCCTATAGGAGGGGCCAATCACCTCCAAGCCTTACTCCCGAATCGTCCCTTCGGTTTTAACTATTCTTGCCTTCTGGCAGCTCTGCGCATGCGCGCACTGGGAACAAGGGGAGCCTGTTCCTCTACCTCGCTGCTGTCCGACTCTGGAGGCTCCGGAGTCAGCACATAACTCCCAGATGGCCCTGGCCTGCTCTCTGCCTCCAACACAGAGCCCTCGTCCGAGCCTTCCCCAGACTCCAGGACTGGCCCATGCTCCCACCCAACCTCCTCGCTGTCTGATTCTGCTGAGAGCTTTGCAAGCCGCCGATGGACCACAATACATTAGGATCAACAGAGAGTGGGAGATTATATTTAGCAAAGCTCCTCTGACATGAGGCAGGACACTTAGTAAAGCTTAAGAGATCCAGATCCAGTCAGTGACCAGAAGCGGGACTGTATGGCTGATCCCATATATGTTGTCATGGGTTTCGCCCTGGCAGGAGTCTTGGATGTAAATGCAATAAATACATTTCTAATGCAAGGCAAGCGTGCGCTCATTGTCCTAGTTTAGGGGTGTCAAACTCAATTTCATTGAGGGCCGCATCACGGTTGTGTTTGACTTCAGGGGGCCGGGGTGAGTGTGTCTGGCTTGACGTCACTCATGTCAGGAGCGCCTGTGGTGGCCCAAGTGCTCTGTCCGCGAAAATGGGCTCCCAAGCTCCGTTTTCAGCTGCAACGGTCTCCTGCAACCTTCTGCCAGCTGAAACGGTGCTCGGGAGGGCTGCCTGCGGTCCTCCCGAGCTCTGTTTTCGCTGGCAGAGGCACCGCAGACCAGTCCTTTGATGTTTCCAGGGCGGCCCAGATCTAAGCATCCCACAGGCCGGATTCGGCCCCCAGGCCTTGAGTTTGACACCCCTGTCCTAGTTCACGCATGCTCCGCGCATCACTGTTGTTCTTACCTTTGAGTTTGTTGTGTTCTGAATCAGCTGGAAAAAGAGAGTCTGGGAAAAGTTTAGGGAAAGTTAGGCCAGCGTATTTGGGCCGGTTTTCCACGTAGTTCCGCACTGTAGGTTGGAGTTTCTTCATAAATTCTGGACAGGGAGTTCCCAGCTGTTCAATCACCTTATTCCACTGGTCAATATCTGAGCAGAGAGAGTTAAGGAAACAATGGCTGCGGATTCCCACCCCACCCCACCCCACCTTCTTTCCCAACCACTCCAACCAAGCTTTCTTAGAATCTTGCCGTCGTTGTCATCGAAAGGTAACAAACTAGATTCAGTTCATGAAAATCTCTTGCCAACCTTTTGTGTTTCTTTTCCAGGGCAATATAATACTGTATCAGAGCAATATCAGCCATACCAAAATAAGACCAGTGACTTGGAAATTCAGCTTGGTAGGTGACTCCTACTGATTTGGATGCAGATAGTCCTCACTCCACGACGGCCTCCTTCAACAAAGTTCAAGTTACAACGGTGTAAAAGAAAACCGCTTGGGAGGGAGGGGCAAACATTTCACATGTACCATTGTGAATGCAACAAAGTAGAGTTGATGGAGAACGCGGAATTAAAATAGCAACTCGCGTTCATGTGATGTTTCACTTAATGATCGTGTTGGCTCACTGAATGAGCGAATGGGAAGTGATGTCATCCGTCAAGCGCACTTTTGTAATTTCCTGCTGAGCAACCATACCACCTAGCCGCAGAAACGCCAGTCTCAATTGCTGTCGCTAAGCGAGGATTACCTGTATAAGAAGGCAATCTGATTCATACATTACCTTTGTGGCTTAAGTGGGGACTGGACCATCCACACCAATCTGTTTCTGATTCTTAACTCATACTCTACATGTGTTGGATGACACAGATAGTGGAAGCATCTGAGATACTTTATATAAGTACCTGCAGCCAGATGGAACTTGAACACAAGACTCCCATGATTAAAATATCTGCATTTTACCAAGATTGATGAATAACAGTGGGATATAACTCTTTTTAGATTTCTTTTTGTAGCAGTTCCCTAAACGTCCATGTGTTTTTCCCTAAGTCATCGGTATTAATTGCTATCGGTAGTTGGACACGTTGTTAATCTATTATTCCAGCAAGATACTTCTATTTCATAGTAACAAAAGAAACCCATCAAAGACAGTAAGTCCACATTTATTCAGTATGTTGGGGAAAATGCACATAGACTTTGGCGTATTCATCAGCACTGGGTTTGCTTTTTGAGCAGAACAAAATCCAAAGGAGTAAAAATATTAACACCTTTTTTGGCAAGACCTTAATCCAGAAATAACTTTAAGCATCCTTCATAAGACACCTTGTATTATTTAACAGCATATGTCAGTGCGGGCGAAACTTTTCGGCACCAAGTGCAGAAATGTTGCATGTGTGCGCACTCTCATCGGAGCTGTGCTCCGGAAAAGCCTAACTTCTGGGTTCTAGCACGCATATGCGCCTGACAATCAGCTGGCCGGTGCACCTGTACACACCGGTTTTTGGCACTGGTCAGGACAGCTGATCATCACATGTGCATGCGCACCAGAGACCTGGAAGACAAACAGGCAAGGCTGCGCATGCCACTTTGGGCACACAGGTTCTATAGGTTCACCATCACAGGCATATGTTCTTTTAGGAAATATGATGCTGAATAAATGGAAGAGAAGCTTTCATCAAAACAGTCCAGTGGATTCAAACACCAGTTCTTCAAATACACCCAGACATAAACATTCCATTCATTATATGCCATAACCAGTGGTGGGTTTCAAAATTTTTTNGATCTAATCGGTCTAGTGGAGGTGATTGGCAGCAGGCGGTTTTAATCTCCAGTCCCCAGCCACCCATCATCCTGGTTGCTCTTCCCTGCATTTTTTCCTAGAGTCTCAACATCTTTTTTATAGTGTGGTTGACCAAAACTGGATGCAGTACTCTACATGTGGTCTTACTAGAGCTTTATAGAGTGGTATTAGTACTTCACTTGATCTTGATTGTATCTCACTGTTAGTAGTAAGCGTGTAGTACCCCTGTTCTACACCACAGACGTTTTCTACAATAGAGCGATGAGAAATTGTCCTGTATATGCAAATCATTTCAGATAGAAACCTCATGCTGAGTTCCTGAAACCGTTCATCATACTGGGCTCATTGGCCCAGTAGAGGCGCTTTCCGGGCACGTCCAAGTGGCCTTGGGAGGTCCCTCTCCAGGCCACCATTGAGCCTGGAGAGGGCAGGGCCACCTTGACCTTTTCAAGAGCCATTTCAGGCGGGGATGATGAAGGCCGCAAAGCAGGGGGACTCGGCTGAGAGTTAAGAAGATGCACATCAAAGGGTCTCAGCAGCCAATTGAAAAGCTTTTAATGTGTAGCCCAGAGCATAGAGAAAGTACACACGGGGGATTCTTGATGTGCTTTGTGCTGGTCTTCTCCAGCAAATGGTGTCAATCTGACATCTCGGCACAGAGAGAGTGACTTTCCTAACACCTTCTTTGAGTCACTTAAGAGTGTGAGGGAGGCTGGGAAGATGTGCTTTGCGTGTCTTTAAGGACCTTGTTTACTGATCGGAGTCCTTGTTTCCTCCTAGAAAGCTTTGGGGGTCACCACGTTACCCTGGGTTTCATGGAGCACGGGAAACGGGCCACGGGGATTTGCTAGCCAAGGGATTCTCCCACCTCTCTCTTCCCCAAGCTCTGTTATCTAAAACCAGCAACGTTTTTTTCTTTCTTCCATTAATGGTCAAGCCGTGGAGGAGACCGTGGCTACTGGTGGGCTCTTTTCAGTGACCATTCAAAAAGGATGGAGAAAAGGGACAAGGGGGGGGAGGAAGAGAAGGAGGGGGAGAACATAGATGAGGAGGAACAGGAAGAAGAGGAAGAGAAGAGGAAGGAGGAAGAGGAGGAGATAGGTGAGGAAGAATAGGAAGAAGAGAGAAAAGGAGAGGGTGAAGGAGGAGGAGATAGAGGAGGAGGAGGAAGAAGAAGGAAAAGGAGAGGGAGAATGAGATAGATGAGGAAGAAGAGAAGAAGAGGGGGAAGGAGGAAGAGGGAGGAGGAGAAAGAAGAAGAAGAAGAAGAGATAAAAGGAGGAGATAGAGGAGGAAGAGGGAAGAGGAGGAAGGAAGAAAAAAGGAGAGGGAGAATGAGATAGATGAGGAAGAAGAGAAGAAAAGGGGGAGGAGGAAGAGGGAGGAGGAGAAAGAAGAAGAAGAAGAAGAGAGAAAAGGAGGAGATAGAGGAGGAAGAGGGAAGAGGAGGAAGGAAGAAAAAAGGAGAGGGAGAATGAGATAGAGGAGGAAGAGAAGAAGAAAAGGGAGGAGGAGGAGGAGGAAGAGGGAAGAGGAGGAGGAAGAAGAAGAAGAAGAAGAAGAAGAAGAAGAAGAAGAAGAAGAAGAAGAAGAAAAAGAAGAGAGAAAAGGAGGAGATAGAGGAGGAAGAGGGAAG